GTCAGGTGGGGGGCTGCTGCGTGGCTCAGACTGCTTCACTGTGGCCCCACCATCCTTTAGCCCTCACGGCACTGTCAGAGCTTGTCACCAGCAGGGACAAGTCACACTGCCTGGGGAAGCCCAGGCATCCTTCCCAAAGACCCTGAATAGTCCCATGAGATAGCCGCCTCTGATAGACATATTCGAGGCTTCTTCCACCTGCAATTTGGAGACACTTGTCATGAAGTGAGGTGGTTCTTTAAATAGAGGGTATGGCACCATGTCCAGCAACCAGGCAGTGCTCAGTGCCCATCCACGTGAGTCACAGAGACTGTCTAGCTAGAGCCACTGTTGGCTGAGCAGGACGTTGAGGGAGGGGCTGCCACCATGATAGGGAGGGACCCACCCCTGTAGGGATGATGACAGAGGGACAATGACACTTTGGGTCAAAGCTGAGAGGGAGGCTCCACCATGGTGTTGCTTCAGGAAACTAGAAAGGCCAGGTTGGTGGCTCCAGGGAAGATTAAGATGAGGTGGGAGGGGGTGGCCTAGCCTGGAGGGTGAGGGGTATCTGGAGACTGTGAGAAGTGGGGAAGAAGGGCTTTGAGAAAGAACACCCCTATGATGCTCTTTAGAAGCCCAAATTTTAAAAAGAAAGGAAATTTCTTTGACATTATTTTAGGGACTATGTAAACTAAAATAAATCTTAAGCCTCTCAGCCAAGTGAATGAACTCCTTTTAGTCAAAGAGACTAAAAGTTGAGTTGCTGGTCGTGAAAAGGGAGCAAGTCCCTCCTCATGCTCCCTCCCTTCTTGGAGATGGCCTCCGTGACTCATTGACAGGCCCAAGGCCACACAAGGCAAAGTTTAAGCCACACCTGCAGGTGTAAGTCCTGGGTCTGTCTCTGATTAGCAGACTTCCTTCACAGAAAACATTCCAAGCCTTTAGACAAAGCTTTAGTTCTTTAACCAATTACAAAACAGAATCTTTACATCCACCCATCTTCTGTAGGCCCCCGACTCTTGCATTCAAGGTGTTGTGCCTTTTCTGGCCAAACCAACATGGGCCTTCCTTATATTATTTATAACCTAATGTATAATTCCTATCTCCCAGAAATGAATAAAACCAAATTGTAACCCAACCACTATGAGACCACAAGGCTTCGTGGGCACGGGCCCCTGGGCCATGGTTGCCCATATTTGTCTCAGAATAAACCTCTTCAAATTATTTTACAGTTTGGGTCTTTTCTGCTGACACTCGTGTCTCTCTAAATTTGGTGCCAAGCAGAGGCTGAGCACCCTATAGCCCTGGGATCTATTTGGGTTATGCTTAGGGTGACCAGATTTTAACGGTAAGGCGGGACAACATGGCGGGGGGGGGGGGGGGAGCGGGGCTTGACAA